CGGGGTAACCCCGTACCACTCCACTCAGCCAATCTAAACTTTAAATACTTATAACTCATAAACTACTAGCCCCAAATTCGATTTTCTATTCTATCAGAACAAAATTTATGTGAATATAATCTAATAGTACAATATTTTTTTAAGGAAATTTCTAAAATGGACATTTCCTACTTACACAACTTTGTCCCACCTGATGAACGCGGTATGCCTATTGCGATAAAATAATAGTCTGCTATATTATAGTTACCATTATGGTTGTATTACGAGGTTGTATAGATGCAATTTATGACACAGAAAAATTAAATTTCAACCCGCTATCCACCAATTTTTCATTTAAATATAATATTAATTATTTTTTAATATTATTTTAATAAATACAATAATATTTGTCATAATATATTATTATTGTGATATTAAAAAGTAATTATTCTAAATTATTGTTATTCATTGTTATCGATGAATAGGATACCACAACTTTAAATGCACAATACTACGTAACCACTTTAGTGACTATATGATATGTTACTCCTCTTCGATCACACTTGAATACTGTAACCTCATGTCCTATAAGAATGAAGACCGATATCATTCACAAGTAGAAAAACAACGTTAACGACCAATATTTATTATTTATTGAAAACCTATATGGATCGCAGTCGTCCGTCTAAAGTAGGTACTCGTGTTCAAGACAACAGCCTAAAACAAAATTATATATTTTCCGTAGGTCTCTCTCTCTCTCTCTCTCTCTCTCTCTTTCTATATTTATTTTGTATTGATCTCGACTTTTTCTGGTGCTCATATTATATTACGAACCACGGTACTAGAGTGAYACAAGTAAATCATAYTCACCCTAAAACTACAACTCGGCATTCTGAACCCGCAATCCCTGGATGCATGGTCGCCGAGGAGAGTGGGAAGGGGAGGTGTGGATGTTGGCCCGAAGGAGGGAGGATATTGTGTCTGCTGGGAGGTGGATGTCGAGTTGGGGGTAGATGTTTGGTCAGAGTTAGATGTTCGGCGAGGAGAGYRAAATCTCTATGCCCCCAMTCCGGGGCATGGCAGAAACCTACGGGTGCCCCAATAGAAATTCTGCCAAATAGGCGTCCGAACTAGGCCTTCGTGCCTACTCACGGATATAGCGCCATACGAAAAAAAAAA